CTCCTCGAAAGTAAGATGTGGCAATCTACTTCCGTAGTGATACTGCCTTGGAAACCCAAGGAGGGGTCGCTATGAGTTGGGTCCGACTCGATGGCACATAACAACAACACAACAACAGTATCACACATGGAGTGATGGAATGAAGGATCAACACAGTCAAATGTAATTGAATTACATTTGATGATGGGAAGTGTTCATTAGATTGTTCAGTAGGGTCATGTGGCAGAGACAATACTATACATTCACAGATCCATTTCCTTTTTGCTCTCAAACAGGTTGCATTTCACAGTTTACTTTGTAGTTAAAGGGAGACATGTGATAGGTAGAAATGAAGTATGCCACTTACAGGTCTGGCTCCTAAAATTTCCCCTGAAATTATTTACCTTCTCTTTCTTCCTTAGTCTATTGTCTTAGATACAGAGACTCTAGTGGAGAATTCTGAGGTCCTAGGAAATGGCAGAGCCACTAGATGAATGGAATCTGGGTCCCTGAATACTGCATGGAACAGATCTCCCACCTCTTCCCAGTGAACTATGGTGCTAAGTCATTGAGTTTTGAGGGTTGTTACAGCAACAAAGCTTACTTATCTTAACAGAGAGTAAAGACTGTGTTATAATGTATTGTGCAGGTAGGAGTAGAGGCTGTGAAGATAGATTACTTATTTGGGGAAGATTGACCTAGAAGGGAAAGATAAAGAAGACAGTACCTAGAGGAGAATGCAGGATTGCCGGAACATGATTTTGTGTGGACACTGGCACTTCTGAGTTGACCGTTCTCTAAGAACCCTGAGCAGCAGGGACTAGCCCCCAAATCTGGCCTCCGCACCTTGTTCCAGGAAGAGGCCTCTGGGACTTTCTGGGGCTGCAGCTGCCCTGTCTGATCTTTCAGAAAGCTTCTCCAGCACACACTTTTAAAAAAGTGTGTTCTATGTCCTTGAGAGGGTCCATGATGCCAGGAAGAGGATTGAGAGGCTGGGAGTCACAGCCATCTTCTTCAGATGCTTTAGCAGAGATCACGTCTCTGGAGAGTGGGGTAGGCCCCATTCCAGCCATTCTCTGTGGCAACACAGAAGTGAGAGGTTTGGAGGTATTTTTGAAGAGATGTTTCTGAATGAGATCAGGGATTAGTTGTCATGATTCAGGGAGTGGCATTAAAGCACCAGTATTCTTGGGAAAATGGGTATGACTCCAATATCCAGCCATTCAAACATCGAAGACCGCTTAAACAGCAGAAAAGCATATCTCTTATTCCCAACCCTTCTCCCACCCACCAGGGGCCTCTTCAGATTCCAGTCCAAGTGTCCTAGGACACAGATCAGATAAATGACCAATGACCCAGTTTTTGCAACTCAGCTGGCTTGGCCTGGCTTCGGGGGAGGGTGAAACCTCCCTGCTATGCCCAGCTCCCAGCTCATTGTTCAGCCCCTATCTCAATGCAGGAGGAAGAGCCTGAGAGACTAGATTCAAATCTCAGCCACTCATCCTCTGGGTTACTTTGAAGTCTCTCACCCCCATTTGTGAAATGTAAGGAGGTTTAGATACTATTTAGATAGCTCTTAAAAAGTGCCCAGGGGTGGAACTAATTTGAAGTATATCTTCTTGTTACTGTGTGCTGAAGAGTTCATTACAACTCATAGTGACCCTGCAGGATGGAGTAGAACTGCTCCATAGAATTTCCTAAGCAGTAATCTTTACAGAAGCAGATCACCAGGTTTTTTTCTCCAGTGGAGCAGCTAATAGTTCAAACCATGTCCTTTCTGTTAGCAGCCAAGCACTTTCACCATTGCATCACCTGGTCACCTGTAGGAATGTATTTCAGCATTTGATCCAGTGATGGAGAAAGCAAAGAGGTGTGTAAAAATGGTGTCAGGGTCATCTGACCTCCTCCAACTAACTTCAAGAGGGGGAAGAGAGAGAATCAAGATCAATAGCTGATTGCTATGAAGGAGAGGTCCTCAGGCACTTGACTGCTAACCAGAAGGCTGGTGGTTCAAACCCACCAGCCACTCCTCGGAAGGAAGATTGGGCAATCTGTTTCCGTAGTGATACTGCCTCAGAAACCCAAGGAGGGGTCGCTATGAGTCGGGTTGGACTCGATGGCAAACAACAACAACAACATGAAGTGGAGGTCAGACGTACCTCCTCCAACCTTTTCAGCAATTTTGGCACCACCTGTTCCTCCCACAGCACTCTCTACTTCTCTGCTGAGTTCAGTAATTCATTGCAATGGCCACACCGAACTCACAGACATACTCATGGTTATGGAATTTCTTAGGGAAGTAACAGGTTACAATTCAGTGTCACAAAGGACTCAGGATACAGTTCTTTGGTCAGGACA